TGAGACAGGGCTTCTCTAACAACTGACTGCTCTGGAACTCTTTGTAGACCAGGCTAGCCTTGACCGCAAAGAGCTCCACTGTCCTCTGTCTCCTGAGTACTGTGATTAAAGGCACGTACCGCCACCTGGCTACCTATTGTTCTTAGCTGCGCTTTGGACACGGTTTCTGCTCACTGTTGGGAGCTGAGAGTCAGGTAGCTAGTAAAGGGGACTTCATGGTCAGAGTTGGAACTTCTGGGGTGACTAGGGCCACACCTTACACAGATGTGCAGGGCCCAGTCCCTTCCCAGGGTTATAATTGCTCCCTACAGCTCTGCATTCTGCTGCCTCTACCTCCCAATGCTCCATTTCACTCTGAGACAGGTCTTGCTGTGTAACCTACGCTGGCCTCGAACTTGCTTTCCCTCCCCCTCCCCTCTCCCACTTCCCCCTCTCCCCCACAAGTGTTTGGGTTACAGGCGTGCACCACCACACCCAACTTCAGCAGTTCTCCTGCTTTAAAAAGGACTTGTTGCCTTCCAGACTTCTAACAGGGCCAGAAATGAGTGGTTTTGGTTACTAAACAGGAAACTCAAAGCCCTTTCCGTTTCTTTGAGCTGGCTGGAAGGGTTGGACCCACAACTGGTACTATACTTTAAAGGACAGAAGAAAACTTTTGTATGGCTTGAAAACAAAAAGAAACAAAGGCCTGCACACCACCAGCCTTGGTTGACACACAACATGGAAAAGAACTGCCTTGTTGCCTGGCAGTAATGACAGCAAACAAATGTGTCTGACAGTCTGGCATCTCCTGGTCCCAGTCCTATTTGCCTCGCTTTAATTGCTTCCTTAGGTCTCTTTCAGTTTCCCCACCTTCGGTACCACCCTCACCCAAGGGAACATCAGGCTGTGCCAGGTTGTGCTGGGCTGGGGCTGGGGCTGGGGCTGGGCCGGGCTGGGCCCCACAGAATACAGTGACCCAGCCAGGCTATTCTTGTCTGTGTCTATTTGCAAGAAGCCTGTTGTTCTCACTGTCTGTTTTTCTCATCATGAATGTTGAGTTGGCAGGGCCCCTGGGGTGGTGGAAGCCATGGCAGAATAGTGTCCAGACTTCTGCCTCTGGAAATGCAGCTGGCTGTGAGTGCCAGGTTGAGGAAGCAGTGGTAGATTCTAATCCCAGGGCGTACCTGAAGACACATTCCCAGCAGGAGAGCCCTGCTTGGGTCCCCTGGACTTGTGCCTGCATGCTCTTACCAGACATGCCCGGAGGATCTGTCCCGGCATACTTGTGAGCCACCTTTGAGCCTAAGGAGATTATTTTCTTTGCTATGAGTCTATCCCGCAGCCCCTGCTCTCTAGGAATTTTAATCTGTGTCAGGTTCGAAGTAGCTACTCCTAGGCAATGCCCTGAAGCAGATGGACATTCTCAGTGCAGTGGCATTTAGCAAAATGCTTGCCTGTAAGTTTGCCATACACATTCATGGGTTCCATGAGTGCGCTGCTATAAAGTGTTGTGAACTTAACAATTTACATGGAACTTGGAGAGATGGCTGCTCCTCCAGATGTTCTGAGTTCAATTCCCAGCAACCACATGGCAGTACATGATCCAGTGCCCTCTTCTGGTATGCTGACATGCAGACGAAACACCTGTGTATATAAAATATATAAGTATAGCTTTTTTTAAAAAAAGTATCTTATATGGAATCTGTTGCTTTTAATGTGATTTTATTGTTTGACTGTTTCATACATTTAGATGATGACTACTAGTTGGTTTTACCCTGTTACCCTCTTTGGTTTTTCTGTTTGGTTGTTTGCTTGAGACAGGGTCTTGCTTTGTACCTCTGGCTGGCCTTAGATCTCTTTAGAGATCCCTATGCCTGGTTAAAGCATGTACCACCATGCCTGGCTTCTCTGATCATGCTTAAAACATAAAAGCATAGAAAGAGCCCAGGAGGTGTTGCTTGCTGCAATCCCAGCTGGAGGCAGGAGGAAGGACAGCGGCTGTGTAATAAGTTTGTGACAAGCCTGGGTTGTGTACTTGGAACTCTAGCGAAAAAAAGAGAAAAGGAATAAACTGTAAATCAAGGTGGGTAAGAGGCTAGGGAGATGGCTCCATGGTTAAGAGCATTTGCTGCCCTTACAGAAGACCCGGGTTCAGTTCTCAGCACCCTCTCAATCATCTATAACCCTAGCTCCAGGAGGGCAGCACCCTCTTATGGCCTCTGGGCACCAACTTACCTACATACTCATAAAATTTATTCTGAGCCGGGCGTTAGTGGCGCACGCCTTTAATCCCAGCACTCGGGAGGCAGAGGCAGGTGGATCTCTGTGAGTTCGAGACCAGCCTGGACTACCAAGTGAGTTCCAGGACAGCCTCCAAAGCCACAGAGAAACCCTGTCTCGAAAAAAAAATTCTGGGTAAAAGAAGCCAAACAAACAATGGCGTAAAGGTGTGAGTGACAGACAGCATTGTTTACCTGCTGAGCCATAATTGAAAAAGAGATACAGGAGAGATGCCCACAGAAATCCTGAGGTATCATGGATACTCAGTGATCTGTCTTTTTTGTCTCACTGTTTACACCCTGGCTGTCCTGGAGCACTCTTAGGTAGTCCAGGTTGGCCCAAACTAACAGATCTGGGTGGGGTATGGTGGCACATGTCTTTAATTCTAGCATCCTACTACCCTAAAGAAAATGCACATCTTCCCATATAGTCTATTTTACAGATAGATGCCAAGTGATGTTCTGAGATCATAGAATAAATCTGCATTTGATAACCGGTTAGCCGGGCGTTGGTGGCGCACGCCTTTAATCCCAGCACTCGGGAGGCAGAGGCAGGCGGATCTCTGGGAGTTCGAGGCCAGCCTGGTCTACAGAGCAAGTTCCAGGACAGCCTCCAAAGCCAAAGAGAAACCCTGTCTCGAAAAACCAAAAAAAAAAGATAAAACTAAAGGGAGACTTAAACTGGTTATTTGCTGGGTTGGAAGGGGGGAGGATAATGTACTTTGTATTTCTAAAATATGTGAAAAAAGGAGCATGGTATGGTGGAGTACCACCAATGAGTTTTATATAAAAATGTACTATAATCTAGTGTGGTAGTGCACACCTTTATTCCCAGGCAGAGGTGGGCCCGTCTGGTGTACATAGTGAGTTCCAGGCATATATATATGACATCCTACCTCAATAAAACTTGTGCCACCAGGCCTGGTGATGATCCTTAATCTTGATTGCAGTGATGGCTTCACAGGCATACAGATATCAGCACTCATGAATTAATGCAGCCCAATAGTACTTGAAAAAAATATGCAGAGGCAGTTCACTGGAATAGTTAGCATTTAATATATGCTGACTGAACTGGATGTACTGGCTCATAGTCATCCTATCAGCTCTGGAGGTCGAAGAAGGAGGATTGCTGGGAGTTCAAGGCCAGTCTGGCCTACATAGTGAGATTCTTCAAATAAAGTAAGCATCATGTGCCAGATTCACACGCTATGTTCTGGGGGTTCAGAGACTTGAGGTGCGAGTTGTGCCTTCTGAAACGCACAGCATAGTTGAAGGAGTTTGATTTAAAAAAATAAATTCAGATGCAAAGAAGAAAAGTACTAAGGGAGAGTCCAGGACATCTTCTTGAGAAGGTTAGAGAATGGGGTGGGCAAAGCTGGGGTCTTAACTATTGAGTGCGACTGGGCTTGCACTAACGGGCAGAGTGGCGAAGCAGTAAGAGAAGAGGCCACTAAACAGGAACCTTTTGTTCCCTCGGGCAGTTTGTGTAAAATCTAGGCTTTGTAACCGGGACCTCCATGTTCAGTATTTGAGGCCATGATACCCAGAGCAGCTTTGTTGTTCCTGGGAGGTCTTATGCTCCCTTCGATGTTTCAGAGACTTGGTTCAGGTCTGGGCAGCAGCTGGGGAACATCTGCTTGCTCCTTGAACTGCACCTGGGCAAGAAGGCATCCAGCTGTTCCAGCTGTTCCAGTAGCAGCATCTCCACAAGAATTCTGCCTTTCTCTGTGGCCTGTGGTACCAACTTCCAAATACCCGTACTTCTGACAAAATGTCGGAGGCACAGTGATCTGTACTCTGTGTGGCGCTCTTCTTGTCATCTGTCAACTAGATGCCCCAGATTCCTTCAGAGTCCCTTGCTTCCCTGTTTTTACACTTTTTCCCCCCCCCCAGCTGACTGGGAAGTTTAATTCGGATACAATTGTCATACCACATTAAAAATGCGAGCAGCAATACAGAGCATGGCAGCCAGGTCGCTGAGTGAAACAAGACTTGGGAAACACGGGCAAGGCCTGTATTAATGGAGTAGACGGCAAGCTCTGGCTCCTTTCTGTCCTTTCTGTCCCATCCGTGCTACCTCTGCCACATCCAGAAGGCAGACCTAGCAAGAGGTTGAAATGAGACTTGTGCTGAGTGAGCATCTCCGAGACCCAGAGACCAAGCTGCTTAGACACCAGCAGCAGAGCCCTGGGACCCGAACTGATGTTCCCCAGAGCCAGGCGAGCATGTACAAGTTCTCATGCTGGATCTGAGTAAGAAGAGGACTGGCAAGTGTTCCATGAAGTGGTGGCCAGCAGCACACATCTGGTTGAACCAGGAGAGGCGGCGTGGATTAACCCTCTCAGTGAATTCACTGTCAGGCAGTGTCAGGCATGGAGGGCTATTTAGTTACCTGGAGTTATGTCGTTAGATAAAGATCGTGTTTCTCGGTATACCCCATGTTAGTGCTGGTATTCCAGGCTGCACCAACACACCAGCCAGGCTGCTTTTCTTGTAACCTGTATACCTGTGCCTCACCTCACCTGAGCTGGTAGAAATAGCCCACATGTGGGCTGGCCTGATCTCTGTTAACTGTTGGTTCTGCCTTCACCCTCTCCCCCATGCCCCCTACCAGCTAGACTCCTTTATGTCTGCATTTCCCTTCTGCACGGAAGGTCAGGCTTGTGATTTGGGGTCTGTTTCCCATATGGGCACAGGACATGGATATCTAACTATTGATTTGTTTCTCTTGTATTTCAGTCGTTCCAGGGAAGTCAAGGACGAGCATACCTCTTTAACTCAGTGTGAGTGTCTCTGAATGGAGCATCTATTTATTGGGGAAATTCTCCAGGGACTGGGTACTCACCAGTGATTCTGCCTTAATAGTATTAATAATAACCCAGGGGACATTCCCTAGTCAGTGTCAGTTACCTTAGGGGAAGTTTTGTTGGCAGCCTCTCCAACTACAAATACTGTAATTGCCAGCACCGGATCTTCCCCCAAGGAAGACCTTGGGGAGCCTCTGCCAGACCTTCAGCACGGAGGTCAGCAAGACCTGAGCTTTGGGATTAGGGAAGAAAGCTGGGGTGAGAAGAACCATAGGGGAGCCTCATCCTTTCTGTAGAGGATGTCTACACATTGTCAACCATGGGCACTTGACTCATAGCCTCGACTGGAATAGGAAGGCAGACCTCACAGACACTTGATGAACTATGTAAGGAAATGCAGCACAGCCTGAAACAGGAGTTCTATGAAGGAGAATAGCATGTTTGATATTCAAGGCCTACTCATCCTTATGATAAGGGCTAAAACAAATGGTCTTGTTCACCATCCTATGTGTCGGGAGATGTTACAAGTCCTGGTATAAAAATGAACATGTGCACCCACTCCACAGTTACCAGAGAGGGAAGAGATTACTGGGCCGGCGAAGGCAATGCTGCCAAACCTCCGCAGCACAAGCTGCATCCCTGGGAGTCCTTACTGTAGGAGAGAACCCATTCCCAAAGTTGTCCTTACGTCCACACATGCACCATAGCACACACACGTCACCCCAACAAGTAAATGGGATCCAATTTTTTTTAGTTACAAGAAAATTTAAATCCTAAGCAAACTGTCATCCAGGGTTATTTTGGTAAACCTACAGAATTTAATCTTGCAGATCTACAATTTATTCCCACTGAGATATTTTCATGTGGCTACCTTTGAGGGGATGTTTTTCCATTTCTGTTTTAGACCAGTTTCTTCTCAACACTGGCTTCCCTGGGAAGCAGCCTTGTTGAGTCAGTTTTTGCCAGAAGCTCAACTTGAATGACTAACGGTTGTTTACCCTTCTGACTAACCTCCCGTTCTCTTTCTGTCTTTGGCGTAGAGTTAATGTGGGCTGTGGGCCTGCAGAAGAGCGGGTGCTGCTAACAGGACTCCATGCAGTTGCAGACATTTACTGTGAAAACTGCAAAACCACTTTGGGCTGGAAATACGTAAGTACAGAAGAGCCTGGGTGGGAGGGACTGGGAGCAATAGCAAAGGACCTCCTGGCTGAGGAATGCCTTCCTTCTTCCAGAAGCTTCCCTCCGCCCTGGGGGGCTCTTCTCACCTTTGACCATGACAAGTAATGGTCCTCCATGCGCACTCCTTCACCTGTCCTGGAAGCACTCCTGGTGGTGCACACGTCCACTTTTATAGCAGGACTTTGTAACATCTCCTGACAGCTTGCTGTGTGGTAGGGACAGGTTATGTAACAATACTAGGAAATGGCTCAGTCAGCAAAGTGCTTGCCACAAGCATGAAGACTTGGGTTTGTAATCCCAGAGCTCTCTGTAGGAATAAACCAGGAGAATACCAGAGGCTTGCTGGCCAGCCAGTCTAGCCAATTGGTAAGCTCCAGGTTCAATGGGAGATTCTGTCTCAAAAAAGCAACTGAGGGAGCTGGGCAGTGGTGGCACCTGCCAAATAGTAGGTGGCCTAGCAGTAGGGTAAGGGAGGGGGCAGGCTCTGTACTGGGGTTTATGCAGCCTCTATCACGTTGGAGCACAGCAGTGAAAGAGACGCATATTTTATTCATCTGCCATGGAAACAGGACCTGGTTGGCCTCATAACACTTGTTTCTTTTACTATCCTGTCTAAGCCTAACAAGTATGCCTTAAAGGGCTGGAGAGATTGCTCAGTGGTTGCTCTTCCAGAGGTCCCGAGTTCAATTCCAAGGACCCACATGGCAGCTCATATGGCCTATAACTCCAACACCAGGGTATCTTTGCACAGACATCTATGTAGGCAAAATACAAATACACATAGAATAAAATAAAAAAAAACATTAAAAAAGACTGTAACCAGGCTTTCCTGAATTCCTAGAAACTGGTGGGTTTCAGAAATTCGGGTTACCTGAGGAGTTCGCCTGTGTGTGTGTGTGTGTGTGTGTGTGTGTGTGTGTGTGTGTGTGTGTGTGTGTGTGTGTGTGTGTGTGTGTGTTTTAATGTTAATGTTTATTGCAACAGGGAATACTGTATAGCTTTACCTGGCCTGGAACTCACAGAGAACTGCCTGTCTCATAGAGCTAGGATTGCAGGCTTTGTTTTGTTTAGATTTTGATACAGGATCTCTGTATTATTATATAGTTCTGGCTGTCCTTGGATTTGCTGTGTGAACCAGGGCTATCCTCAAATCTACCTGCCTCTGCATCCCTCGTGCTGGGATCAGAAGTGTACACAACCTTGCCAAGCCTTTTTTTTTTCTCTCTCTTAAGGTCTTCGTGAAGGCCACTCTAGTCCTCCCTGTCTTCACATGAAGACAACTCCATGTCCTCAACTTAGCGCCCAAGTTGTCTTTAAAATATGACAGCTGCACTTCATCATCGAGTCACCAAAGGCCCAGCTTTTAAGCTTCTCAGAATTAAGACAATGCACAAAACATGAGCATCTCTGCTTTCCTTAAAGTTTATATTGCATGACAGGCAACAGAAATAAGACAGGGTGGCATAGCATGATAGGTAAAAGTTGGGATTTCAGGTTGAGTAGTTGAGAAAGAACTTACCAAGATGGTGGCATTTGAGCAGTGGTTTAAAAGATTGAAAAGAGATTGTCATGATATTGAGGAACTCAGAATGCCTGTGTGCTAGCATCTTCAGTAATCCTGACCTTTGCTGTCCCAGTGCCCCTCATTAGCAGCATCCCTGCTTCTGTGTCTCAGCAGTCACCTCTTTGCCTTTCTCTTCCTGTTTTTTAGGAACACGCTTTTGAAAGCAGTCAGAAATATAAAGAAGGCAAATACATCATTGAACTAGCGCACATGATCAAGGACAATGGCTGGGACTGACCTGACAGCATCCATCTGGTCCAGCATCCACACGAATGCCATCCAACTGAACATTCTACCCAAGCGTGAGAGAGTGACTGAACACTTGGTTCCATCCATTTAGGGGCCTTGCCATCAGGGGGCATCCTCCCACCCTGACGCCATCTTTCTGGGTGACTGGCCTCTAAATCACTGTCTCTGTCTCTTTGCTTTGTATCTGTTTGTGAGTTGATCTTGGCTTCTCTGTTCTAGTGTTGGCTGAAAACAAAATAACAAACAGAACAGATCCTTGGCCACGTGGTGGCAGTCCACCTTGAAAAGAGAGCTGCCTAATGGCCTCTTGTCAGAGCGGTAGCTTGTGGGCATGAGGAAGAGCAAAGATGGACCTGAGAGTCCTAGGGTTGGGGAAGGGGCATGAGGGTAGCGGTAGAACAAAAAACTGTACTGCTCTTGGGGACCTACCTTGAAATAATTGACTCTTTTGAAAGGACAAAGAGAAAAAAAATACCTCATGGCTGTGTTCTCTCTGACAAACTTCTGTCCTGACATCACATGTGCCAGGATAGCAGATTAGCACAAGAAATGGCCTGATTGACGCTGACAAGGCAGACCCTGGCATTCTGGGCCTGAGCTGGAGAATGTCCTGCTAGTGTGGGGGGGGGGGGAGGAGGAGGAGATAAAGACCACATGGGTTTTAGTGACGTTGATGCTCCCCTTCCCTGCTCCAACACCCCCCCCCCCCAAATCTGGGCAATCGCCTTGTTGCTCTTCTTTGCTGTTGTAGGTGAAGGGAGGGATGAAAGATGTAAATGTCTCATTTAGCCATCAACACAGTGAAATTGGTAATGGAGGAAAGCCAGGGAGCGTGGGTTGCAGCCTAGGAGCAAGCAGGAAAAGTGAAAATTGGGAACTAGTCAGCAGTTCTATGGGAGTAATGTAGCAGGGGAGAGGTTCTGGGAGGAACAGTTGATGTGAGTCAGTACAGGCTCACACATCTTTCCTCAGTACAGTAACTTCCATGGGATTAACAAATCTCTGTGCATAGTGGGTTTTTTGTTTAGTTTTCTTTTTTTTCCCCCTCCAGTTCCATCATAACCTGGGAAGCAAAGACCCACGATTCCCTCATGCCTCTATTGTTCTTAGACCTGATTTTTTTTAATGTGGAGAGGCCCAACAGTGAGGAAGAATTATAAATTCAATATTGCCCACTCACCTGTCTCCTGACTCAAGCTTCCTTGCATTGGGGATGGGGAGAAAAATCCCTCATTGCATTGAATCAACACTGGATGTTTTACAGCAGTTCAGTTATTATGCGGCTCATGGCCGAAATCGTTTGAATTCATGTCATTTCTTAGGCAGAAAATAATGTTAAAATACACTCATACTAGGTAATTGTCAGCATGATTTCTCTAAGTAGGCTGGTCCTACAGGAAAATTTCACCTCTTTAAAACAACCAAATAAAAGAGTTCACGGCGATCAGAATTGATTGACCCAGATTAAAGCAGCTGACCCAGGACATTTTCCAAATCTCGTCTTCAGCAGAACTGAATTCTAGCAGGAGAGAGCTGCGACTTTGCCCCCCTTGTCCTGATCTGGGGATGGAAGAACTGAGACTTGGCCCTGCTGGTGATGCCAGGAGGGTGGCAGAAAGCAGGCCAGCTCTGTTGAGCAGCAGACTGCTCCTCTGATGGGACACAAAAGGATTCCTAGAAACAGGGTTTTGTTCCTCAAGTCTCCTTGTCCAGAGCCTTGGATCACTAGCTCAACCTCCTACCCCCCCTGGGCTGCAGGGCTGACTGGGCCTCAGAAGAACAGAGTTTTGCTTCCTGAGAAACCACCCTGAGCCCCCCAGGCTCAAGTTCTCAGTGACACACATTTCCACTTTCACATTCCTAAGCGGGTTTGCCAGCTCTGGAGTCATGCATTGTCATGCCCACCCCCCAACCCTGCCAGAGGGAAGTGGCCTTCATTTAAGGATTTGGTTATATACCCCTTTGCTCAGGGAATATCCCAGCTATATTAACTACAAGTTCCTCTTTTTTTTTTTAAATGGAGGATGGGGGTTAAATAAACATCTATTTTCTTTAAAAACTAAAATTAGTGACAGGTAGAACCCAGATATATGATGCCCTGCCATTCTCAAGGGTCAGAGAAGGAGACCAGTGTGCCACTGTTTTTCCTCGGGGTGGGGTCCTTGATCATCTTGGATCAGAGCAAGCTCCAGTAGGACCCGGATTCTGGCTTTTTCTGGAAGAGCATCTGGTAGGTGTTCAGCACCATACTTGGTGCAGAAATGGCATGTAATTAGTTTGGGGGTGGGACCAAACTTGTTAGGCTTGGCTCTGTGACAGTGACACCAAAAGTGCTTCTTATGACCTCAGCTCCATTCCTGGCTCCCTTAGCAGCATTAGAGGGTCCACAGCTGAGCAGTGGAGACACACCCACTCAAGGCCTCGGTCAGTTTCTTTATTTTCCTCACCAAATTATCAGCATAACCAAAGACCTCATCCATTCGCCCCACATAGATAGGTTCAGGGAATTGGAGTTGGTGTGGTGGACTTGGGCAGGGGTGGGTGCGTAGGGAAGAGAGAAAGGGAGGGCCCTGAAGTTCTGTACCTCAGCCACCAGCTGCCTTCGTTTTGAACTGAAGACTAGCTGACCAACTCTTTTCCATCTCCCCTGTGCCATGGCACCCTGGAGTAATCCACCCCCCTTCCCTATATTTCCATAGTCTGCTAATGGGTGAATCAGCGTGAGTCAAGTGTAGCCAAGCTTGATGCCCACAGCTCTCAGCTGGGCCTGGCTGAGTACAGCCCTAGCACCTATGACAGTCAAGTCATGTAGATAAAGTAAATCTTTGCTGGTAGATCAATGTGTACAAAAACAGAGTCCCCTTTATAATAAAGTTTCCAAGTATATATACAGTCTCTTGTGAAATATACTTTTTGTAAATAATATTTAATTTTTTAAAATAATATATTTGGTGCTGTATTCTCAGACCCCTGAGAGGACTTTTATTTTCAATTCTATGGCTTCCTCTGTGTTTCTTGAAATATATTTTAAGGGAAAGAGTCATCACCAAGATTTTTAAAAAATCTGTCTCTTTAAAATGGATTGAGGCTTTAAAACATTTTTTTTGCATTTTTTGTTTGGATTTTGCCCCAGTTGAACAGACTGTAGTAAACTACCAGTTTGTGAACTGATACTTTTTTGCCCAGCCTTGGCTGGAAAAGAAAAAAGTTTTAGTAGTAACAACTTGTAATTACTGTAGTTGGGAGAACTTCTAAGAAATTGGAATGGTTGGGGTGTGTGTGTGTCTGTCTGTTTGTCTTCGTTCGTTCTGGATTCTTCTGTTTCCTTTTCTACTGAGGATACCATATGAACTACAGTTTACACCTTGGGCACATAGTTTTCCCTCTCTGGTTTCCATGTCTGAGTGGACCAAAAGCACAGAGCAGGATTTTCTTTCTCTGAGATGGAGCTGTGTGGCCAGTTCTTCCCCAGTTCCTTCCTCTGGGTGCTTAGCTTTTAGAGCTGGTAAAGCAAACCTATGAAGATGAGCCTGGAGTCAGGTACATGCTTCTGAGATGTGAGTGGATCAGTCACACATCCCGGGGTTGTTCTAGAACCATGTCATACTAAATGTTAACTGGTTCAAGTTAAAAGGACATTGATAAGACAGTAGCTTTCCTTCCTCCCTCTCTCTCCCCCCTCCTCCATCTCTCCCTCCCTCCCTCCCAAGGTCAGATTGCTTTGGTTCAGGCAGAAGCTGGCAAATCAAATTTTGAACACAACTTTTGTATTTCAAAAAAAAAATCTGCCTCAATGGACAATACATTCTAGTTTTGTGAGTAGAAAAAATTGTTTTTGAAATGAAATGTACCAGAATAAAAGATAAAGCCAAGAAAGACATTGTCTTTACAGAGTTAGTTCTGCCCAGTGTTTTACAGTGTTTTGGTGAAGGTGGGAGCGAGTTCCCTTTTCCTAACCTACAGAGACTGGTGTTACCACAGGTCTGTCTGTCTTGTATTGTTGGGATTGGAATTGTTTTTGTTTTTCTTTGGTGGCATTTTACACCCCTCTCCCCCAGGTCACTTTGCTTCAAAAACAAAGGCAATTGTTTCTGAGTAATTTGTCTTCACCTCTTTCCTGTATCTGTACATAATGATTCAGTATTAGTGAGAAGTGCATTGTTTGTCATTTCCGATCTGTGTTGGTGCTCATTTGAGAAAATAAAGTTTTCAAATATTAACTCTTGGAGAATGCATCTGTTTTTGTTGCTAACCCTGCTCACAGACCTGTTGAGTCCACAAAGGGCATGTCCCTTTAGGATAGCAAGCCAGTTAGTGAGCGAATCTGAGGTCATCTCCTTTCCCCTGGCTTTAGCTGGCAAGTGCAGAATGACCTTTATCCAGTTATCTATGCCATGACCCACCTTCTGAAAGCTCTGCCAATGACGTCATTGTCTCTAGACATAAGACTGCATTAAGAAGCAGGTGAGCTAACAATGGGAGATAAATATCCACAGTCGTAATCCATAGCGAAAAAATTAATATCAAATCTTGTTTCAGTATTGAATTGAGATTATAAGCCTGACAATTCTGTCACTGTGATAAGTTTGTTTTACAAGTACATAGTCATGAATAACCAGTCACTTGTAAGTATAGTGCTTATTGGTGCCTCCCTTCAAAAAAATCATTTACATCTTAATCCAAGACTTAATGCATGCTAGGCTAGGCAGGGACCTCTACTGAGCTAGATGCCCAATCCATGCTCCGTATTTTAAATAACTTCTTTAGAGGCATAGACATGGTGGTGCATCCCTATAGTCCCAACACTGTGAAGGCAGAGGCTGATGGATCTGAGTTCCAAGACAGCCAGGAGCCAGTACTACACAGAGAAACCCTGTCTGAAATACGTGTATGTGTGCGCGCCAGTGCGTGCGCATGTATGTGTATAAAATAAAACCCCTTGCTTGCTTCCCACAGTTTTTCAGCTATCTTTTCTGGGCCCAGCTGCAGTTGTCTTTTATTTGTCATTGAGCGCATTATCTCCTTCCTGTGACTTGTTTTGCTTCGGTAGACTTCCTGTTATCATGTTATCATATAACTCTTGTTTGCCTTTTGTGGACAGAGACGCGAAAAAATACATGCAGCAGCCAGCCAGTCTTGGTGCTTTGCTTGCAGAACCTGGAACAGTGTCCTTAAGCTAAGGCACTTCCTCACATCACCCCAGGAGTTCTCACTGCCCTATGGGAAGACTGTAACATGCTGAGTGTTCTCATTTCTTTACAAGTGATGGGTCAGGAAACAGCCCATCTGACTCTTGGGTTCTCCCCTATACTGTTTCAAGCTGGGTTTTAGTGATTTTTATTTTTAGATTTATTTTACTTTATGTGAATAAATATTTTGCTTGCATGTAAAACATTGGAACTGGGTTCAGGGATAGTTGTGAGACACCAGAAGGATACTGGGAACTGAGCCTGGATCCTTTGCAAGAATAAGTACTCTTAACCACAGAGCCATCTCTCTAGCCCCTGTTTTATTTCAGACAGGGTCTCACTATGTAAGCTTGGATGGCCTAGAACTCAGGTACTGGGATCAGCCGTCCAGCTCAGGTTCCAAACTTTAGTGCCTCTCCCTTCAGCCTTAAATTGGCTGTGGCTTCTCAGTGACACAACCTAGTCTGTCCACCTTGGCTGCCCTTTGCTCTACACTCCATTTTGTTTTCACAATAATTCTTCCATTTAAAGATGAGGAAACCAAGACTCTTGAGACCATAAAATAAATCCCTAAGGCAAAGCTGGGATTTTGTGAGCCTGATGACTGATGCTATAACATTGGCACTGGGGAGACTGGGCTGGGAGGATTTCACTGAGACCTGCCTGACAACCATATGAGACACTTTGAAAATACAAAAACGTTTAGGACCTCCGTAGTGGCGGTGCACGCCTTTAATCTCAGCATATGGGAGGCAGAGGTGAGTGGATCTCTGAGTTCAACTTCAGTCAGGTCTACAGAGCAAGTTCCAGGGCTATAAAGAGAGAGACCTTGTGTCAACAAAAAATACAGATGAGCTTCTGAAAAGAACATAGCAGTAGCCCACCATGACATTTCTGTGTAGGACCCTTTTTGACAGATGCTAAACATACCAATATGTCAAGATTGTTTTCTTTCTCCTTTCTCTTCCCCCTTAACCTCTGACAAATATAGAAGAGTTTATCATTAAAAACAAAAAACTTTACCATTATTTAAATTTCTAGGTCCAGGGGCCTGGGAATACAGCTCAGGACAGATGTAATGGCCAACAAGCAAGCAGCTCCAGGATTTGATCCCCAGTACTGCAAACCATGCTGGAGAATGACAAGTCCAAGCCATCCTCAGACAAGTTGTTTGAGGTCTGTCTGGGATGCATCTGAGTCTGTCAACAAAAAGGGCAAGCTTTCAGGCATCTTGTCTATCTGAATTGGCCAGGACCAGCTTCTGTGGTGAGTCCTGTCCTGAAAAAATATGGCTCAGAGGGACCAGCAAGATGCTGTTTGCCATTAAGCCCGAGTGCCTGAGAGAAATCCTGGCATTTTGGCCACTGAAAACCCAGAGCTTAGGACTAGGAACCGAGAAAGCCTAGCATTTTTTTCAGGACTGATTGGAGCTACTGGACTCCTTCCCTCATCTGAGATCCCAGCCATGCCTTCCTATACTCTCTGTAGCTGTCTGTAATCCTGTCTACCCTACCTGTGGTCTCACAGGACAGGAAGGTGAGTTAGTGTAGAAAGGGTAACTAAATGAATGATGCCATCTGTGCAGTGGTTAGGGGAGACTTCTAAATAATGTGACTACCTTGGGGGTCACCCCACAGGGCTATACATACCCGGTCACTCATGCTTCTGTAAGTAATCCCAGCAAACTCACTGGTTCCCAAAGTTGGATCTTAGCAGAAAGGTTGGTCTACTTTGGTCTCTCTTTGGAACTGTGTGTGGGGGAGGGGAGGGTAGATGTTTGTGTTGTCTGTCCAGAAAAAGTTCACTAAATAAACAGCAGACTTGGTGGTTCACCCCTGAAATCCAGCAGGAGGAAGGCAGAGGCAAGAGGACTGAACTTTCAAGAGCAGCATATATTTTTTTCTTAAGACTACTTTTTAAAATGAAATGTCATGTGTCAAATGAAGATTTCTAATTTCCAAGTGATACGAGAATCATTTTAATATAACAGCCAGAGTATTCTGAAGGCACTTCCCAAATTATTTGAAATCTATGACAGAACAATTAAGTGGTTGGGGGGATGTTAAAATAGTGTTAATGATTTATCCCAAGTTCATGAACTCAGTCATACTGGAGATAGTGGTGGCTGCCTGTAATCCCAGCCCCTGGAAAGTAGAGGCAGGATGAGAGCAAAGGTCATTCTGGGCTACAGCAAAAACAAAAGAAAAACAGCCAGGCGGTGGTGGCGCACGCCTTTGTGAGGCAGAGGCAGGCGGATCTCTGTGAGTTCGAGACCAGCCTGGTCTACAATAGCTAGTTCCAGGACAGCCTCCAAAGCCACAGAGAAACCCTGTCTCGAAAAGCCAAAAAATAAAATAAAATAAATAATAAAGGAGTTTTCTTAATTTTGGTTTTTCTATTGCAGAAGCAAAAATGTTTCTATAGAAAGTTCTTGTGTTGTTTATGTCTTCCCCACCCCTTTTTTGATCCTTAATAGAGTTTAAAACATATATTCACTAACACGGAATGAGCTGACCTTCATTTGGCTGCTGTGATCTATAACCAACCCAGTGAGACTATGGTCTGAATTATGCTTCTGCTGGTGGCCCTGCTCTGTGTTAGATGTGATGTGTGAATGACCCAAACTGCTGCTAATCTAATAGGAAACCTGTTTAGCCTTGTCCAGTGTCCAAACCTTTACTGCCCCAGCAGTTGGCAGAGGACTCCCAACACCCACATCTCCTGGAGGCTCTCAGGCTTGACGTTTCCATGGCAACAAGACATAGCCAATGTTCCCGATTTCATTTTGTTAGATCTCAATGATATTATAAAAGAAATTGTTTACCAAGGAGAATGCCAGCCATCTGAGAGTGAAGACTGCAGGGGAGGAAGCATCACTGACCTTCTGGAGACTTCTTTATAGGAAACACCTACGGGAGTTTCTGTTTAGCAAAGGGGTTGGGCAGTCATCCTGGAAAGAGCTCCCTCCCAGATGACTGGCACAGGCCAGTTGAGTCCAGAGCATTGGACACTTCCTCTTGCACTGGTGAAATCCACATTTAGCTTGAGGGAGGCTTGTCTTAAAAGGGATTGCATCAAGACTGATGAACCTATGCTGTGTTGAAGCTACCTCCTGCCTCTGGGCTGAGGACCCTGGGGCTTCATGCCAGGAGTTTCCAGGTTCTCATAGATGGGTCAGTTACCCACTGAGGCTCGACTGACTCTAAGAGTTGTGAGGAACAAGTCAAGGGAGGTCTAGGAGGGCTAGGTGCCACACAGTGGTGAAGGCCAAGCTGGATATGTGTTTATTAACATGGGAAAACAGACATGCAACAGCACAAAGAGAAGCACTAGTAATATAATGGAGGCTAACTATCTCTCCCTTCAACTCACTGAGATGCGCCTGCCTCTGCCTCCCAAGTGCTGGGATTAAAGGCGTGCACCACCAACGCCTGGCAATTCTCTCTTTTTCCCTTTTGGTATCACTTCCTAAACAAGTTTGTCACTTTAATACCTTGTCCTGCTTTGGTGGTGCTAGTGTGACAAGAGTAGGAACTGACAAAAACTGTCAGAATGAACATGTGACAGAAGCCTGTCTTCTGAAGACTAGAAACCATCCTTTCCCTGGCATCTAAGGACGAGAACACGGTGGGAAACAAATGTAGGCCCACCGGAGAGGTCGGCAGTTACAAAAGACTTTATAAAGCCCTTGTGCTTTGGGCTAAGCCACATTTCTAAAAAAAAAAAAAAAACAATTGATGAGCCTAAATGCTGAGGATGGGGAGATGGCTCAGAGATGAAGACTTTGTGTCCTTATAGAGATTCCCAGGGTTCCTTCCAGCCATCGAATGGGCATGGCAGCTTACAACCACAAAAACTCATTCTATAGAATACTGTGCTTCATTCCTTTTTTTAAAGTTTCATTTATTTTATGTGTATTGATGTTTTCTCTTCATGTATGTCTGTATGAGGGTGTCAGGTCCCCTAGACAGGAGTTTCAGACAACTGTGAGCTGCCATGTGGGTGCTGGGAATTGAACCCAGGTCCTCTAG